GAGCCGAGGTTGTGCCACTGTACTCCAGCCTGGGTGACAGAGTGGAACTCCGTCTCAAAAAAAAAAAAAAGTAATGGCAAATGGCAAATAAATCTAAAGGCAGAAACTGCAATTACCTTTCCACCAACCTGGTATTTGATACATACTTATCTGAGGTAAAGGCTTACCTGAGTATAGTCATCATAATGCTTGTAATACAAAGACTGGAGAAACAGGCTAAATATTCAGTAATAAGATTTGGCTAAATAAATTGTAGTGCATCTTTTTGATGGACTATACTTAACCAAAAATTACTTTGAGTATGGGAAATATTTGTGGTAAATAAGCATAAAGGTATAATATTATTTTAATTTTTTAAATTAAAATATTTTAGAGCAATTTTAAATTTACAGAAAAAAATTGAGTAGAAAGTACAGAGTTTCCATGTACTCTCTTTCCTCTGCCTTCAGGTCCGTGTATATTAGCACATTTTGTTGAACCAATTGATACATTATTATTAACAAAATTCCACAGTTTACATTAGGGTCACTCTTTGTGTGTTGTGCAGTTTTATGGGTTTTGCCTAATGCACAGTGCTGTTAATCCATCATTATAGTATCAGACACAGTGCATATTGCTGCCAAAAAACGTCTCCTAAACTCTACCTAGTCATACCTCCCACTTCCCCAAACCTGTGGCAAACGCTAATCAGATTCTTATGGTCTCTAAAGTTTTGTCTTTTTAGAATGTCATATAGTTGGAATCGTACAGTATGTAGCTTCTGAAGATTTGCTTCTTTCACTTAGAAATGTGCATTTAAGGGTCCTCTATTACTTTTCATGTGTATTTATTGCTGAATAATACTGCCTTGTATAGATGTACCCACAGTTTGCTTATTCATTCACCTATTGAAACACATCTTGCTCACTTTCAAGATTTGCCTATTAGGAATAAGGCTTCTGTAAACACTCACAGGCAAATTTTTTTGTGGACAAAATGTTTCAACTCATTTGGATAAATATTTAGGAACGACATTGATAGACTATGTTTAGTTTTATAAGAAACTGTAAGGGTATCTTCAGTGGTAACTGTACCATTTTGCATTCCCACCCACAATGAATGAAAGTTCCTATTGCTCCACATCCTCACCAATATTTGATGTCAGTGTTTTGGATTTTAACCATTCTAACAGGTATATAGTGGTATTTCATTGCCTTAATTTGCAGTTTCCTAATGACATGATATTCAGCATCTTTTCATATGCTTAGTTCCCACTACGTATCTTCTCGGGTGATGTATCTATTCAGACAGAGTTTGATATTTGGACAATGATGGATTCATAGAGTAAGTGAAGAAATATTTCCCTTGCTGCTGTTGTTAGAGACAGATTGTATGGAAATCATCTGGGTTGGTGGCTTCTGTTTCAGAAGGTTTTTAATTATTAATTTCTTTAATAGATATAGGGCTGTTGAGGTTATCTATCTTACCTTGTGTGAGATTTGGTAGTTTGTGTCGTCTGAGGAATTGGTCCATTTTATTTAAAGTTGTCAAGTTTGTAAGCATGATGTTGTTCATAATACTCATTTATTATCCTTATAATGTCCGTAGGATCAATGTGATGGCCAGTCTTTCATTTCCAATATTAAAACTTTGTGTTTTCTCTTTTTTTCTTGATTGGCTAGCCAGACTTGGCTGGAGGTTTATTAATTTTACTGACTTTTTTCCCCAATGAACCAGCTGATCCTAGTTTTTTAAGTGGCATAAAATATAAACTAGAAGAATCTATAGCAAAATGTTAATCATTGTCTATGGATGATGGGATTATGAATAACTTTTCTCCTTTGTACTTTTCAATATAATTAATACGTAATTTCATAATGAAAAATTAGTTTTTATCTGATGTAAATGACGAGTTGATGGGTGCAGCACAGCAACATGGCACAAGTATACATATGTAACAAACCTGCACGTTATGCACATGTACCCTACAACTTAAAGTATAATAATAATAAATAAATTAAAAAAAAAAAAAAAAGAAAAATTAGTTTTTAGTTGTATCGCCTGCTGATCAGTATCTTTCCCTCAGACCAACACAATTATAACCAGTGTTTCATGATCTTCATGAAAAATCTAGCTCAGTATTCTTCTTTTTCATTTTTCACTGAACTTTGTCTTTGGAAACACTAAATTTACAGCCTATGGATAAAGGGACCAAAAAGCATTAAAACACTCAAAAATTATTTATTAATAGGTTATTTAGAAGAAAATAAAAATAACATCTGTTGAGGTGTTTTACACATGCTTTAATTTTTACTACAACTTTAACATGCAATGATTATTCTCTTTTTCAAACAAAGAATCTAAAACTCAAGAGAAATTAACTTGCCTGACTGAGGCTACATGAGTATGTGGAAAAGCCACAAAAAGTTCAGTACTAGGGTTCTCCTATTTCAAAATCTGGATTAGATAAAATGATTCAAGGCAGATTTTAACTATAAGAGTATATATCCATGGTGGAAAGGTTGATCTTTGTCATTCATTAACTATTAGTTTTCATTATGACATCACCTTTTACTAATGAAGCTATTTCTATGAGATATATAATTTAACCTTTTTTGAGTTTATGCATTACAGTTTCAAAAAGAGAAATAACATCTTTTAGAGATGAGTATCTTATTCATTGTTTGAGATATTAAAATGAATGTTTTATTTCAGCATTTATTTAGTTTTTAATGACATGAAAGATAACCTGGGGAGAGTGAAAATCTGGCCTAGAGTTGATTTTTCAAAAGCTATTTTCACATATAGAAAAATTTATCCCACCAAACATCATTTGTCTGGCTTAAAATAAAAAGTTAATATAGAAAGAGTGATTAAATATTTGTAAGTAAAGCTGTACATTTTGAACTCAGAAAAATTTAATGGTCTTTATATTCAATTGATTATTGATTGCCATTTATTTGACTGTGTAAGCATTTGTTATAATTTACATTTTCTTGAAGAATTCCTAAAATATCTAAAATAAGTGTCAATCTCAGCATGCCTTGATACTATCTTAAAACTGGCAATTGTCTTAATCTAAAATTGTTGGCCCTTGAGCCAGGATGTTTATCACTGAAACTTTATGAAACCTTATAGCTATTTTTTTAAAATACCCCTTCCTGAAGCCTACAAGCTGTTTTCCAAAAATTAATGAGACACTGATTTTTTTTAAAAAGAAAAAGGCAGTAAGATTTCCTTGACCTATCAAAATTATGTTATGCTTGGCATGTGAATCATGTTTTTGGCACAGCAGTTCCAAAACAACTCCAGAATCTTTTACATGCTTATGGATGATCTGGTTCAGCTGGACTCCAGGCGGTGAGTGGGGAATAACATTTTCACATGAGTGTTAGGTCCCAAGTTCCTCTTATGTTGTATGGTGATTCTGTCCTAGTGAGGGGGTAAAAATTTGAAACCTACATAAGCCTACATAGCTACAGTTCTATAGGAGCTGGGTTTTTAATTATATAGAATGTTGAAACTTTTTGATTTGTCAGATTTTACAGAAAGTGACCAGTTTTTTTAATGAAAATTTAAGTAAAATCTTTCTGTAAACTGACCTTATTAAATATACCTACAATGATATAGGATTAAAAAATAATGACTGGTAATTCTATCTTGTTTATAACTGGCTTTTGTATGGTGCTTCATAGTTTATAAAGTATTTTTACATTTTTTCATTTAATCCATAAGTTAGGTGATGTGATCCTTATTCACATATGAGGTAATTAAAACAACTTTGTGGCTTGAAAAGCTTAAACTAGTAAGTGGGATTCCACCCCACATTTTCAGAAACTTCAAATCTAGTTATCTTTCCATTACCCTACACTGCATCTTAGTTCCCATTCGCTGCTCTAAGTTTATGTAGATATTAGTAATATATTTGTGTACTACTGCAGCAATTAAAGGGAGTTGTTACTATATTCTTTATATTCCAACATATTATCTTTTCTGATCTATGTTTCGGGGTTGATTTGGGGGAGTCCTAGCTACTGATCCCAACTAGTATTTATTCATTATCATTCCAAAAAAGAAAAACTTTATTTTCTGTACATTTTAGCAGAGACAAGTATTCAACTTCATTATATATTTCAAAAGTATGAAAATTGCGGTAATAGACCAGTGTTTTTCAAATTAGTTGCAGTATAGCTCCCTTAGATGGTAATGATTTTGTGTTTGAGATTCTGCATATGAATTTATTTGGGAATAGCAATTGGGGAGAGTTTCTGCTGCAAGGGTTAAGTTTTAAAATCATGTCTATGCCAAATATATTTAGGATGACAATGTTATTATGCCTTCATAAAATTCAGTAGGAACCATTTTTGTTTTCCAGAAATTCTCTAATATATTACAACAGTTGGAATGTAAGGAGTATTCTTCTGGGAAAAAAAATTCATGTTTTATATTAAATAATACACTTATTTGTTTACCTGATTTTTACTCTTAATTCTTGTAATAAAGCCTTTAAACAAGATAATAAAAAACCGTTCTGACTTTGAGCTATAGACTTTTACTTGTTTTCTTGGGTATCATTCCATTTTCTGAAATCTGTGGGCTTTTCTGGTGCTTTCTTCTATTTCTCTATTTTATGTTGTCTTTCATGGTGTGCAAAGTTTATTTCCTCCACATATCTCCCCCTTTGTTCTGATTTCTTTCATAGCAAAAATAAAATTAAAGCACAATGTTAAGTTGACTCTTTCAGAAAGTTAGATGACATTTAAAACCCTATTGTTGGAAAATTGTTAATTTATAACCAGCTCATTGTTCTTGCTATTTTGTCCCATAATAGTGCAGATTACTCTCCTTACAGCCTTCTCTGTTTATTTCTAGATGTCATGAGTTTAATTTTAAAGTTAGTTCTTCTCCCCTTACTGTTAGTTTTTTAAAAATTATTATGTGAGCCATTGCTGTGGAGAGTGGTAATTTTATTTGTTTTAATAAAGTTAGTATATTTAATGAATTTTTTCCCTCTTTTAAAGACTGTGAACCAGAAGAGCTGACTGACTGGTCTATGGATGAAAAATGTTCATTTTGTAACCTACAGAGAGAAGCAGTCAGTGTAAGTTTTAGTGCTATGAAATTATCTTTAAACTAATGCACAATTGTAACACAGTTTTTTTTTTAAATCTCAATTTGTTTTGAAAATTTGTGACTCACAGTGGAAGTTTAAATATTTGATTTTGGTAAATGAAAATAATATTTTAAAGTCTTATGTTAGAAATCTAACATTTAGCTTAACTTGCAGGTGAAAATCCTAGAAAACTCTTCTTTTTTTACTTATTTATTTCCCATTTCTTTCTTACTGTTCCCTGACTCATGAAGTTTAGTTCAGGTCTATTTTGTGTTTAGGTATAGAGGGATGAGCTTGAAGGCCTACTTTGGTCTGAGACCACCCTACAATCTGATGTCTTAGAAATTAATAGTAGGGGAATAATGTGCTACTTTTAGCCTTTCACTTACTCTTGAAGTCTTTTGGATATCATAATTATCTCCTGTGTAAATGATGACATATGTAAGTGTCTACTGTATACAGGGCATAAACTGTGCAGCCAGCATCATCTTGTGTGGTGGGAGATCCTGATTTCTTTTCTACCGTTGTGAGAAGGGCTGAGAAGAAATGAAAACTTGAGAACTTGTACCAATTTTGGTCAGATTAGTGGGTAAACACAGCTGCTTTGTTGTTAAAACTCTCTGATAGGATTACATTACTGGCATGCCAATACAGTGAATTTATTCACCAGTATGTTTTATATGGTCTTTTTTTTTTTTTTTTTTTTTTTTGGCTATAGTTTTGCTAAGGAATAAGGTTATTTTGACTCTCTATCAGAGCTATTTCTTTTTTCCTGACTCTTATTCTGAAATTTGTGTTCCCTCTCTCTAATTTGATACAATTTAAAGGGTAGATCAAACGAGCATTTAGAGCATTAATTTTTTGTCTTTTTTAATGGAATTCCATGTTTGAATTAAAAAATGATTCTGGATGTTGTTGTTTTCTTACACTTTTAGGATTGTATACCATCTCTTGATTCTTCACAGTCAACACCAACAGAGGAGCTATCATCTCAGGGCCAGTCCAACACTGATAAGATTGAATGCCAAGCAGAAAATTACCTAAATGCACTCTTTCGAAAGAAAGGTAATATTGGTATGCTTTGTCATTTAAAATTTCCAATAGAGATATAAAATGTTTGAATTTTTTTACACCAAAGTTTTTTATGTCAACTTCTCTACTTCACTCTTTACTATTTCTTTCTTTATTCTTAATTTTTATATTTTTAGGGACAGTAGGAGTCTCAATCATTCTAGTACTAGTCTTGTATTAGGCATTCCTCTTCAGCATTCTATTTTCGAATATCTCTCTGACTTTATCACACATTTTCCTCATCTACTATAGGCACCTTTAAAAATTTTTCCTTATGCTTCTGGTCTTTCTTATTGTATTGCTGTCTTGAACACTTCAAAATTTGTTTGATGTTCAATAAGTTATATGATATCATATTGCAAAGCTATACCTAATAATGTTATAGTTAAATCACTTATCAGTTTGGTTGGAGTGTATTTGCTGACTTACTATTTCAATATTTATTTGGTAACTTGAATTTGCTTAGTAGACATTAAAAAAAAATCAGTATTCTTTTTTATTTCTTGTCTCTCCAAACTACTCAAACCAAAGAGCTTTTGTTTTACTTGTTCCCTTACTTTACACACATATATCAAGCAGAAGTAGTTTTTATATTTTAGTTACTTGGGAGAATTAGAGAAATGTAGAACCTTTCATGTTTTGTTCTTGGCTGTTCCCACAGTAATAGAGTGTCTTATTTTTACCACCTGGACATTTGGAGTAAGTTATGGTGCATGTTTAGGTTGGGGGATTATCCTCTCTCTCAACTTTGAGATTAAGAAAATATTACCATATTGTCATCATCTACTTGTTGACCCTATTTTACTCCTCTTTGGAATGAGATATCACCAGATATTTTTCCACTAAATTGATAACTTTCATGTTTAAATCAATAATGTTTAAAATAGTACTTGCCTGTGGCACAAGAGTCTTTTGTTTAGTCCTAAGTGTTCTTTTATATGTTGAAATATGGAAATCCTCTTATTAAAAGAGTCATTAATATAATTTAAAGGCCTAAAATTAAGAACTACAATTTTTAAGAGCAAAAGACTGAAAATCTTTTCCTTTGTGTTACTGTTGAGAAATTCGCATTATCTTTAAAAATCAATTTTTTTTTCAGAATTTTTAGTACAGTGTTAAAAATGTTATACAGCCAGGTGCAGTAGCACGCAACTATAGTCCCAGCTAATAGGTGGGCTGAGGTGGGAGAATTGCTTCAGCCCAGTTGTTCAAGGCCAGACTGGGCAACAAGACCTCATCTCTTTAAAACAATAATTTTACATGCTTTCTTTAAGGATTTTATAACATTAATTTAGAAAATTTTATTCTGTTAGTATTCACTTACAGGAAGAATTATGTTATCAGACTTGTATCACTAAGAGAACTGGAAGAAATATACACATTTACACACATGCACACAGTAAGTTTCATTTACCTTGGAACTCATTACTCAGTCTCTTTTTCCTTTGAGTCATTTGTAATGGTAATAACTAGAATTATCAATAATAATAGCCTTTAATTTTTGATAGTATGGAGTTAACCTATGCTCCATTGCCCTATTAAGAGTAATCAGTAAAAACTTGGTACTATTTCAGCTGATTCAAGCATCTGGGTCTCCAAGAGGTCTCCTACCAATGGTTGGGTGAGTGTTCTTGGATATTTAGTGACCTCTCCATTTCTGGATTTCTTCAACATCTTTTGAAAGATTGCAGAGTTTTTAAATTAAAGATTCTTCTTAGTGTTTTTGCGTTATTTTGGGCCTTTGTTAATTTCTTTATTTGTAATTCATCACTTTCCAAATTTAATTAAACGTAAAAGATTTTCTGCTTGTTTACTTGGGCTTTTTAAATTTGCTTTCAATAAAATCATTTTAGAGATTTCCAAATGGTCTGACCAAGATGGAGCTAGAAGATAATAACAGTATCTTTTAAATGGTCTTAACTCCTTTTTTAGTTTGCCATTTGAGTTCTACTATTAACTCTACTTTGAAGTGAAAGGCAAGAAATATTATTTTAAAGACAGGAAATACTTCTGAGTCTTTGGAGTAGCATTTTAACATGTTGTTAAAACATCTTTTTAGTGCAGATTTTTTTTCCCCTGAAAATATCCCAAATGCAGTCATTTTTAGGGATCCTGGATATGGATGGCATTAGTATTCCTGGTACTTTAAATCTTTTGCTTAGTTTGAGGAACATATGCATGTTGATCATCTTGCTAAAACATAAAGAACTCTTTTAATATCCTTATGGTAACTAATTTATTGTCTTTCCCAACTTATGCTTTTTGAGATGGTGCTAATGATAAATATAAGCTATTACTATTGAGAATATCACTACCTGGGATAATGATGACGATTGATATCATCAGTTGTGATTGAGCACTAAACCTTTTTTATGCTTTATCTCATTTAATGCCAAAACAATATTAAGAGGTAGGTACTGTTTAATAGGTAGGAACAGTGAAGCTCAGAGAAGTTAAATACCATGATTTTTAACTGTGTGCTGAACATTTGAGTCATCCAGAAGAAGTTCAAAAAATGAACAGTGTTCTGTGTGAGGAGCACCTAGATTCTTTTAAGTACTAAGTAGAAAACACTTCCCATTCTCCAGTAGTTAGCAGACTAGGATTAGAATTACTTTATTTGAATTAAGCAGACTAGAGAGGAACTATGAGGAATATTCCATATTTCTCATAGGTTTCTATTTTCTGTTCATGTGGCTTCTGAACAATTTCAGTGATTAATTCCCTTGTAGTGCTTAATAATAGATAGGTTGTAGGAATGCCACTGGCATTAAACCCTCTCAAGACTGGAAGAAGCATATTGCTTAAATACAGCTCAAGCAATTCATTGTATTTAGAAGCTAGTCAGAAATACTCTTTTAGGGTTGAATAAGTCAAATGCAAAGAGAAGGATGTTCTAGAACAAAGATGAACTTTTAACTAATTTTGTATATTCTTTACTTTAGAAGTGTTTAAAAATTGAATTCCTTCTAGAGGTTAACACTAAAATTAAGTAGAGTGCTAGAGTAGAATGGAAATCTCCATAACAGGGACTTTGTTTTGTTTATTGCAGAATCTCAGCAACTAGGACAGTACCTGCATCTTAGGTCCTGAGTTAATATTTCTTGGGTGAATAAATGACTACTAAGATAAACTCTACCTAGCTATCTTTCAGTTTCTCCAAATATTCAGTAGTATTAGTACTTCATTTGTTCTGTTTTGAAGAAGTAAATTATTTTGTACATACATACAGTTACCTTTCTCTGCTTTGTACTTAAAGTATTACTGGATATAGTTTGAGTATCAGTTTGTTTGGAATGTTGATAAACATAGGCATATAGCTATAAAATGCCTTGTCCAGCCTTGTCCACAGGTATTCTCATGAAATGTAAACTAAGTTATTTTGACCTTTAGCTACAGATTCTCTAATCACCTGAAATGTTTAAGTCACTGGCTTATGATTCAGGAAGATGTCTCATCTTTTATTTTTAAATTGAAGGCTGCTGGACTTGACTAAATTGGACAGATAATATGTACGTAGTAGCTGAACGAATCCTACTGCTATCTGTATAACAAAGTCATCCTTCATCAAAATGTAATGTTTTTCCTGCTTTAATACCCACACATGCTTAGTATTCACGTACCCACAATTCTGTGTTTTTTTCCTGAAGACCTTCTTGATGAATTTGATGCCGTTAGTTGAAAGCTCCTATGAACGAACTCTTTTCCCTCAAGTTAATTGATAGCCAGGTTTTATATTAACAACTTTTTTTTTCCCATACCTTTTGGGAACACAGGCCCTTTTTCTTTCAAACTGTTGTTTTGTTTTGTACTCTAGCATGATATAAATACTAGTATGGTTCACTGACCAGTTGGGTTATGACTGATGATAAAGTAATTGATTTCTTAAAAACAGGTAGTGCTAATCTTTTAGATTGCTTTTCTCTAAGTGCAGACATCCTTGATTGACTATGTAAATTTAACATGATTCATTCAGGCCTTAAGTATTTCTTATATAAGTGTTCCTTTGTGATGTCATTGTGGTCATACTTTGAATTTCTCTTATATAGATTGTCCTTTTGGAACTCTCAGGGAATTTTAAGTGTCGTAAAATAACTGATATACCGTTACAAGCTGCATTCAGAGGTGTTCATGAAAAGATTTTTCTCCTTTTCTTACCAGGTATCTGTAAGATAGTAAACAAATTCTGAGAACACACTTAAAATTAGAACTGGATTGAAGACTTTTTACATTTCTGATAAAAATCTCCCTTTTACTTGCGAGTCCATCCGTAGAAGGAATTAAAGGAAATCTACCAGTTCATCCATCATCACCCAGATTCTCATCTCCCTTTGGCTTTTTAATTCCCTAATTTGACCCAGTCTCCTACCCCTTTACAATCACCCAAATTCTTTCTACTTTGTCTTCTGGAACTTCTGGTCTTCCATCAACAGAATCCCTCAGTCTCTTCTCTGAGTGTTCCTCTTTCTTTATTGCTCTAATTGAAACCTGTGTGTTCATAAAGGATGCTTTTGTAGCCTTCTCACTTGCTGATTGTTTTTAATTCCTTACTTTGTGTAACATAAGGAGGTGAACTGGCAGGCAACCTCCAAAATCTTTATATCTGCCCTGCTTGCTCAAAACCATGACCTTCTTTGAAGCCATGACATTAAAGTATTCCATCTACATTATCGTCTCTACCAGGCTTTTTGCTTTCTTCCTCCCAAATACTATTCCCATCATAGCTCATGTTGACTTCAAATTCTATGTAGCTGATACATCTAACACCCTGGCCTCTCCATTGCTTGATCTCTTCATTTCCAACATTCTTTTCCTTTATTCTACTCTAGCCACCTTTTCCCACATTCCTATACCTTTATCACCTCCCAAGTCTCGTATTACCTATCCCTTTCTTTGACTACCATCTTATCCCAATACTCTCATTCCACTATTTATTTTTTATTTATTGTATTGATACATAATATTTATACATATTTACAGGATACATGTGATATTTTGATACGTGCATGAAATGTGTAATAACAAATTAGGGTATTTAGAATATCCATCACCTCAAATAGTTATTTTTGTGTTGAGAACATTTCACATCTTTGCTTCTATTTTGAAAAATACAATATATTGTTATTAACTGTAGTCACCCTACTGTACCATCAGACACTAAAACTTGTTCCTTCTAGTTAACTGTGTAGGTATGTACCCAACCTCTTCATCCCCTCCCACCCTTGCCAGCCTGTGATAAATATCATTTTACTCTCTACCTCTATGGAGGTCAGCATTTTCTTAAGCTCCCACATATGAATGAGAACATGTGATATATGTCTTTTTGTGCCTTTCTTATTTCATTTAGCATAATGGCTGTCTAGTTCCATCCATTTTGCTGCAAATGGCAGGATTTTATTCTTTTTATGGCTGAATAGTATTTCATTATGTAGATATACCACATTTTCTTTAACCATTCGTAGACATTTAGGTTGAATTCGTAAGTTGGCTATTGTGAATAGTACTGCAGTAAACATGGGGATGCAGGTATCTCTTTGATATACTGATTTCCTTTTATTTGGGTAGATACCCAGTAGTGGGGTTGCTGGATTGTATGGTAGTTCTATTTTTAGTTTTTTGAGGAACTTCTGTACTATTTTCTATAGTGACTGTACAATGTACACTCCCAGAAACTGTAAAAGAGTTCCCTTTCCCCTTCGTATAAGCCAGCATTTGTTATTATTTGTCTTTTTTAATAATACCCAGTCTAACTGGGGTAAAATGGTGTCTCATTGTGGTTTTGAATTGCATTTATTTCCCTGATGATTAGTGATGTTGAACATTTTTTTCATATGCCTGTTGTCCATTTGTGTGCTTTCTTTTAAGAAATGTCTATTCAGGTCCTTTGCCCACTTTTTAATGGGATTATTTGTGCAGGTATCCAATTTATTTTTTCACCTCATTGCAGCCTTCAATCTGTAGAACACACCACTTTCACTCTTGAGTACCTCCTCATGATTTCACTTCTCTCTGTACTCAGTTCAGATACTGTGCTTGATAACCATGATCATTTTTCATGTAAAATCTTAACTCCCTTTCCTCTCTTTGCCTTTGTCATGTTTGACGCTCAGAATCTTATCTGTGTTTTAATTCACTTCTCATTTACTACATGCTTATTTACTACACACTTATTCTGGAATAGCTGAACTTGACTAGAAGAAAACATCCAATCATGCTGTTTTTCTAGGTCTCCTTTATCTAGTCGATTTCCTCTCTTACAGGTAGTTATTTTATCTCTCTCTCTTCAAACCTCCACCAACTAAAAATTCTCTTTCCTTTTTGTAGAACAATCACCTTCTATTATACTGTATACTCTATTTGTTTTATTTTTTGTTTGTTATCTGTTGCCTTCTGCTAGAATATAAGCACCATGAGGAACTGAATTTTTGTTAACTAGTATATTTCAAGAACTAGCACACAGTAGGTGTTTATAAAAATATTTGTTATTGTCCATACTTTTGCCATCTCCACTTTCCACCTTCCCTTCTCTTTTCAATCCATCCTAGTTAGACTTTCTTTCCTACCACTCCACTGAAATTGTTTTATCAATTTCACTGGTAATTCCATTTTGTCCTATTCAAAGGAATGCCAGTCATTTCTCATCTTAGCCTTTCAGCATCATTTGATAGAGCTGATCACTTTCTTGGTTTCTGGAAAATTATACCCTTCGGATTTTTTTGCCTTTCTCACAAATTGGTTCTTTCACATGATCCTTGCTGGTTTTCTTCTTCTTGACCTTTAAATGTTGAAGAGCCCTAAGAATTAGTCCTCAGCTGTCTTCTCTTCTTGATACACATTCACTCACTTGATGACCTCACTCAGTCCTATGGCTTTAATTATCTCATGTGTGCTGATAACAACTACATAGTCAATCTAATCCTGACCTTTCTTCCCGCTTTACCAACTCTTAAATATCTAACTGCCTAGTTGATATTCTTCACTACAGTGGCTAATAGGCATCCCACAATGACCAGTCTAAAACAGAATACTTGATTTTAGTCTATTCCCCTTCCCCAGTTTTTTCCATCTTTGTGAAAGGTATCACTCGTGACTCAGTTGGTCAAGCCAAAAGGCCAGGAGCCTTCTTTGATTTCTCAGTATCTTTTACAGCCCACATGCAACCTATTATCAAGTCTCTACCTTCAAATCTATTCTAAATTTCACCATGTCTCATCATTTCCATTGCTACCACCTTAATCTGAGGCCCATCTGGTCTGGTTATACTACTAAAGAGCCTTCTAACTAGTCCTTTTGTTTCTACTTCTCCCCCGTCTTACCTATTCAGCTTTCTATGTAGAAAGAAAAATGATGTTTCTAAAGCCTCAACCAGATCATTATTCCTCTGTCCAAAAGCATTTAGTGGCTTTACATGTCATTTAGAATAAAATCTCTCAAGGACTCTCTGTGGTCTGGTTCTGCCTATTCCTTGACCACATCTTATTATTCATTCTTTTGAATACTTACTGGCTTTTTGCTTTTCCTCAAATGTGCTAACCTTATTTTCTTCTCAGGATCTTTACACTTGCTGTTACCTCTGTCTGGAATCCTGTTTCTACCAGTGCACTTTGCTAATTTCTTCATATCATCAAATATTGCCTCTCTCCTAACAGTGCACTGCCCTCACCACCGTATTGATAATTCATCTCAGTCACTCTTTCACGTTATGTTATGTTATGTTATGTTATGTTATGTTATGTTATGTTATGTAATTTTTGAGACAGAGTCTCGCTCTGTCACCCAGGCTGGAGTGCAGTGGCCGGATCTCGGCTCACTGCAAGCTCTGCCTCCCAGGTTCACGCCATTCTCCTGCCTCAGCCTCCCGAGTAGCTGGTATTACAGGTGCCCACCACCACGCCCAGCTAATTTTTTGTATTTTTTGTAGAGATCGGGTTTCACCGTATTAGCCAGGATGGTCCCAATCTCCTGAACTCGTGATCTGCCCGCCTCAGCCTCCCAAAGTGCTAGGATTACGGGCATGAGCCACTGTGCCCAGCCCTCATGTTATTTTTTTAAAGTCTCCTTGACTCCTCTTCAAATCTTCTTATGTGCCACTTCTGGAATGTAAGAACAAATTAGGCAGGGATTTTGTGTTTTGTTATATCCCTAGCACCTAGAATAGTACCTGGCACCATTAACACTCAATAAGTTAATTGAGTGCATTTAAACATTTTAGAAAAGAAATGTTTTCAGAATCAAAATCAATGCTTTAAAATCATGATGGCCTTTCAATGGTTTTTAAAAAATGTAACTCACAGCTGCAGTATGCTAGACCTTTAGATAAACATCATGAGTGAGTCCTGGCAGTTGACAAGTAAGTGCTTATATTCTAAGATGTTCTGGGGATCCACCAGAAATACTGAAAATATAAGTGATTCTATATTCCTTTCAGAAATGTTTAGTCATTATTCATTTAGTGGTTTTGTACATCCCTAATATCCTTTGGGGTAAATGTTTAAATTTGAGGGGAACAGATGCAGGCGGAGTTGTGGAGAAAAGGGAAGAATTATACACTGCTGGTGGGAGTGTAAATTAGCTTAGGCATTGTGGGAAGCATTGTGGCAATTCCTCAAAGAGCTAAAATCAGAACTACCATTCAACCAAGCAATCCCATTGCTGGGTGTATGCCCAAAGGATTATAAAATATTCTACCATAAAGACCCATGCATACATATGTTCATTGCAGCACTGTTTGCAGTAGCAAAGGCTTGGAATCAACCTAAATGCCCATCAGTGGTAGACTGGATAAAGAAAATGTGGTGCATATATACCATAGGATACTATGCAGCCATGAAAAAGAATGAGATCATGTGCTCTGCAGCAACACGGATGGAGCCAGAGGCCATTATCTCTAGTAAACTAATGCAGGAACAGAAAAAAAAAAGTATCACATGTTCTCACTTATAAGTGGGATCTAAAATAATAAGAAGTAATGGCACAAAGAGGAGAACCATAGACACCGGGGCCTACTTGAGGGAGGAGGATGGGAGGCAGGTGATAGGAGGGAGAGGATCAGGAAAAATAACTGTTGGGTATTATGCTTAGTACATGAGTGTTGAAATGGTCTATGTGCCAAACCCCCATGACATGAGTTTGCCTGTAATAACAGACATGCACATGTACCCCTGAACGTAAAATAAAAGTTTTTAAAAATTGTTTTTGAGGGGAAATAAATGGTTTTTTAAATTTATCTTTATATAATTTGTTAGTTTTTCTAAATAATTTCTTTGTGTATTCTAATTCATTACAGTAGGTGAGAATGCAGACCTGATCATCAAAACAGATGTAATTCTATTGGGGGCCCTATTTTTTGAATTACCATCTGTCTTTAGGTAATGCTTCTTCCCTGTGCTGTCTCTAATATGGCAGTCAGTAAAATTAGCCTGTATTTAATATATAGCAATCTGTATGTGCTGTTCAAAAATCTTTATATTTAAGTACTTAATGGGAAGAAGCACTTTTATGTGGAAGTAACAGAAGAACTAATATGTGCTATATGACTGGCTGGTATTACAGTATCTTCAGTAAGCCTTTTTAGTGATATTTCTCCCAGTTTTCTTGAGTAACTGATGAATTCACCAACTGTATCATCACCTGTTTGTTCTTGTATAGAATGCTACTAATTTAGTTCTTTCTTTTCGCCAGTTGTGACTTTTCCCCCAAGCACAACTAGCATGTTGGGCTTTATAAAACATATTTCTGGTCCATGACTAGTTTATTAATTTAAGAAAGATTTACTAAGCTCCTACTACATGCCAGGTACTGCTCTAGTGAACAAAAGAAAAAATATCCCTGTCTTCATGGACCTTTATGTTCTAGTGAAGAGAGGCCGATAATAAACAAGTAAATTATACCTGTGATTGAATGTGTATATACACACACCCAAACCTCTCACATGCTGGTTGTATATGAATATAGATAAGTGCCATGGAGACAAAGTGGAAAGAGGGACATAAAGCATGGAGATGGTGATTACATTTTTATAAATGGTAATCAGATGACATTTGAGCAGAGATGTAAAAAAAGTTGAGGTAGCAAGCCATAGAGATCTTAGGAGAAATATATTTCAGGAATTAATAGCAATTTTGAGAAATTATGGATTTGGCATGTGGTAGTGATTGCTATTCCCATTCTTCAGTTTTATATAATGTTTGTTTTTCTCTAAAGAACAATCTAAAATTGTAGCATTGTAAAGCAGGAGGGGGGGAGTTAGAGATTGTCTGTGTTTCTTTGCATACAGAGAAATAGTAACTTCACCAATGAACATGTACTGTAGTGTAAACAAATAATGAAATGTTAGATAATTAATGATCGTCAATAGCACTTAGCAAAATAAATAAGGCAAGTTTTTAAATGTCCGATTAATGGATTATAGAGTTGGTTGTGTGAAATATGGTGGTTAAAAAAAGAAATAGGAGCTTTAGCTCCCATTGCTGTTTGGTAGTGAATTAAGCCAGAGTGAACTGGTGAAGTAGTGAAATAGATGCCCGAGGTTCATCCTTGTCTGAATCCATGGAAGTAACTCTGAACCATCAACTGAAGCAATAGACAAAGCAACTGGATGAAGAAACTCCTCAGAATGCATAAACTGTTTAAAGTTACTTCACTTGCACTTTTTCAGCTCCTGGTCACCCAATACTTTATTTGTAGTTTAATTTTTTAATGTGGTGAGTCTTCTCCAGTCATGATCAAACTCACTTGTAACAACGAACATTTTATTTGTGTGGTCTAAATTTTTTTTTTTTTTTTTAAGATTCGGTGTCAAGTATTTGTGACTCCTTTTTCTTTGCTTGACTAGTGATGAGCATCAAGTGGAAAGATTTTTTCAGTTATAAACTTCAACATTTCTACTGTCCATTTCATTAAATTCAGCCTCCTTTAGCAAGATATAAGACTTTTTGCTTTACAGTCAACATTTCCGTTAACTCCTGGAAGTTAGCAAAATATGTACTAGATTCTTCCGTACTCCATTCATTGTTTGCGGTGATACTTTCCGCCAAGCCTGATTGGCTAATAGTATCATCTTATCAAAACTCTTTCATAAATCCTACATTAAAGAAGTGTTAAATGTATTAGCACCCCACATCAGATATTCATCATCAATATACTTGAAGTGTGTGATACGTCCTTTGTCTGTAGGCTGCGTTAATGACATTCAGTTGGAAGGCAAAAGAGTCCATTTAAATATTCCCTTCAGAAATAATGTTAACAAGAAAGAGATGTACATAAGCCTGTTCTATTATCAGAAGTGCCTTGTTTAAGATTTTCTTTCTCCATATGTTCCTTGATGAATAATAAAGAATGATTCTGTACAACATCATGAATACCTTTATACCCAAGCTTTATGATTTGAACACCATAAAATAAGCATTCCTTCCTTTAATGAATTCCATTAATGAATTCCTTTAATGAATTCCATTCATTCCTTCCTTTAATTCCTTCCATATGTTCCTTGATGAATAATAAAGAATGATTCTGTACAACATCATGAATACCTTTATACCCAAGCTTTATGATTTGAACACCATAAAATAAGCATTCCTTCCTTTAACATTACCTTAAGGGTTCTTGAGTTTTTCAAGTGGTATACCAAAAAAGGTTTTAGCTTAATATCATCTTTACACTTTCCACTTAAAAAGTAATGATGAGCTGTCTTTGACATCTTGATGTTCTAATGCTGTTCTTATCTAAAAAAAAAATTGAGGTGGAATTTTTCCCCCATAAAAGCTCTAGTTCATCAGGATTGAAAATGTGCATAGTGGTTTAAACACATTTGTCAATAGTGTAGTTTTTCACATTCAACAAGGAGTGTTGCTACAGCCTCACTGTCAGCAGAAACTACTCACTGAACTGTGATCCTCAAATTATGTAGTTTGTACAGTTCTTAAGTTTCTCAGACCCTTCTGTACGTCCTTTAAAACTCAACTCTTTCACTGAATTATTGCCTTCTTCATCTGAGGTACACTATAAATACAGTGTGATTGTTAAGAGAATTTAAGAAATAGATTTTATGGAATTAAAAGAAGTATAAATTCTACTTGAAGTAAGAGTCAGTAGAAGAAAGTGTATTGTTTCTAGTACAGGCTTTACAATAGCAATAACAGTTGAGCAGAATTCCCTCAGTAGAAGAAAGCAAAGGAAAATGGATAGCTCCTGTATCAGGGTGCTTGATTTAAAGTTACTAACTTTGGCCATGTTAAGGAAAAGGGGATTATTGGGAGACTATTCAGGGCTCTCATAATATCTAGAGGCTAGAGGGCCAAGGTTGGCAAATGAGAAAGAATCCAAGAGTACAAAGGAACCACAGCCAAGGACACATTATAATAAACAAGTCTGCATGACCTCAGGTTTATGCTCCCATAACGTGTTCGTTTTTCGAAGTCCTGAGAGGATTCAATTAATTGGCCCATTCTAAGACATCTCTCTGCCCACCCTTAGCACCACTGAGAAGGAGAGGAGGGATCTGGCCCCTTCCACATCGATTGTACATGTAGTCAAAGGATGAGAATAGCACTCTGGAAAATGAATATGCCCAAACAGACCAGGTGTATAAAAAGCATAAGATTCTAGAGTTGTCAGGTGAAGTGTGTATGCTTTTTATAATGGTGCTAGCTAAATCCTAGAAAAGGGGGAATTAGGGTACTAAAAATAGGAGACTTGGTTGCTGACAGTACACACACACAAAACCAGATGTCCATTAAACCCCTTAATTTGCCAAAAACAAGGACATATTCTCAGCCCGTAGGCTGCTTAGACCCTACAGTATTTGACTTTGTTGATCACTCCTCTCTTTTTTGGAAACTCTCTGTCCTTTGGCTTTCACTGTACCATTTTCTTTTAGTTGTCTTTACTCCTCTGAAAATTGTTTCCCATTTTCTCCCTTTTTTTTTTTTTTTCCTTTGATATAAAGAGGAAGGTATAAGTCGGGTAAGGTAGATTTTCTTATTCTTTGTTTCATCCCTTAAATGTTATTCTCTTAAGGCTCAATTCTCATCCTCCTTTTAATTTTGTGCGTTCTCCCTGGTCAACCTTAAGCTTCAGGTTCTCACATCCTCGTGATAGACAATCCGCATTGCTGGTCATGATTTTTCAAGTTCATATTCCTGGCTGCTTCTAGGTTATCTACTTCCAGATGCAACCCACAAGAATTTCAAAGGAGGTACTGTGTATAACACTGGAAAATTTTAGTTCTTCCTTTTGACTTCTACTCCTGTCTCCTCTGTTAAAATATGAAATCTTTGAGGACAGACACTGTCTTTTATTTCATCATTTTTTTCTAGTACTTAGCACATGTATTTATGCTCAATACATGTGTAATGAATGTTTCCTATTCTGTTCTCCAGAAAATGGGAAGTTTAAAACCCTATTCTGTGGCCCAGGTTCCTTATATAAATAACCCATATCCCCAGTTACCTTGATTAGAAACTTCACACTAAATACTTGTTGAGTAACTGAATCTACCAGGTCCCCTCAATCCCATTGATTCTACTTAAAATATTATTTTTTTATTGACCATGCAGGTGTTCATATTTTCTTGGCTATACCATAACCCTCCACACATATTTATCACTTTCTTTTAAAACAAAGCCATTATTCTCTTATCTGCTGCTGCTTAGTATCAACACTGAAATCCAATTATATTTATGTGTACTTTAGTGTTTTTCTGCTTATTTTCTCTTTGCTTGATAAACTCTAAATCATCTTTCACGGAAGAAATGTTTCATATTCCTTGATTCCTTTCCTGTTTTCCTTTTCACTACCTCCAGGCAAAAATAAAAGTTTCCCTCTTAGATTTCCTGTAACACATTGTATATGCAAAATGGAACGTAAATTAGATGTGCTTTGCCAAAAAGAGAGAGGATAATAAGAAACTAAAACCTATGTGGGTATCTGTTATGCTTGGTGAGAATACACCCTATACAGATGGTGATACTGGAGTTAATGGATTTACTGGTCTTTTAAAAAAATGTTTTTATTGTAAATTGACAATTTATAATTGCATAAATTTATGGGGTACAAAGTGATTTATGAACACAACTTGGAATAATTAAATCAAGCTAGTTCATACATCCATCACTTCAAATACCTAACATTTTTTGTGGTGACAACATTTGAAATTTACTCTCTTAGCGATTTTGAAAGGAATAGTACTCTATTTTTAACTCTATTCATCACATTGTGCAATAAATATAAAAAAAATCCATATTCCTTTTGAGATTGTATACTCTGTGACCCTGTCTCCCCATTTCCCGTACCCCCAGCTTTGGATTCTACTCTCCTTGTATTCTACTCTTCTGTTCTCTACTTCTTGAATTTGATTCTTCTGGATTTCACATACAAGTGAAGACATGTAATATTTATCTTTCTGTGCCTGGCTTACTGCACTTTATATAATGTTCTCCAATTCCATCCATGTTGTTGCAAATGACAGTAATTTCCTTCTTTAAGGCTGAATAGTATCCCATTGTGTGTGTGTATACATATACACATATGTACACACACCACATTTTCTTTATTCAGATTCATCTGCTGCTGGACCCTTAGCTTGATTCCATGATTCAGCTGTTGTGCATAATGCTACAATGAACATGGGAGTGTAGACATTTCATCAACAAACTGATTTCAAATCTTTTGGGTGAATACCCAGAAGTGGGATTGTTGGATTATACAGTAATTCAATTTTCAGTTTTTCTGAGGAACTTCCATCCAGTTTTCCATAATGGCTATACTAATTCACATTTCCACCAACAGCGCACATGGGTTCCCTTGTCTCTGCAATTTTTTCCTCTTTTAATAGCTCTTAGTTTCTATATGCCTCATTTACTCTAAGTATCTCTGCAAATAGAGTGTAATTCTCATGTTTAAAAGATGTATGTTTCCTAATACACAATGATGTATGAGATTATAGACCTTAAAAGATGTCGACTGCACTTATGTGCTATTTAAGGGATTTTTAAGGATAATTTTGACTCTACCAGGATGAATTTTACCTTTCTTTATCAATTTTAGATATTATTTTGTCATTATCTTCTTAAGAGTATTGATCTTAGTAAATTTTAAACTCCTTAAAGGCAAGGAATACCTTAATAAGATTTATATTTTCAGTTCCTTGTGTAATACATTTATGTTTTGAATGAATTTAAGTCTGTGACATAAAACAAAAACATAACATGCTCTTCAAATGGGATGTATACTTGCTTCTCGATTTACTAAATTACACATTTTAGGTATAAGTGGTGGGAAAATGAAGTCTTTTTTTAAAAATTGCACGTTTATACACATTACATGCATGCGTGTGATTTTTAAAATAACATGGCTAAAGCAGTCTAACGAATTTTAGGATACCATATACAGTAATACAGTTCAGAAAAATTGCTAAAAGGCCAAGGAAATAAAGGAGGAGCCTACTCAAAAGATAGTGTGAAAGCAGTTTACTGTTCAGCATTCACCTTCTTGGTTGCCATATGGTTAGATGTCTTAACGTTTTGCTCTATAAAATAATAGTTTCTGAGGTGGGTTTTCATGGTTTTGTTTTGTTATGAGAACTGATGTTTACATATGCAATTTTCCTGCCACAAATTTTGTGTTAGAGGATGCGTGGAAACAAGAGTTTGGTTTTTTTAAACTCCTCAGAAAATCTGTATGTCTTCGAGGTCTGCTTTTCCCTGATTTTTCTGTTTCTTACTTTTTAAATTCTGTCTCATTAAGTTTTTAAGTTCTTCATGGTGTTTAAATGTGTTTAAAACAGTGGTTATCTCTGTTATAAAAACAGCAGGCTATTAGGTAACTTTTCGAGTGAAACTACTGTAACAACTATTTTGCCTAGTTTTTTTTTAAATATAAGATATACGTTGTCAAAGCATAAATACAGAAAATTTTCACAGCCATTATATATAATGCATCTAAAACCCTAATCCAGATTTCTTAAAACTTTATTTCCTCTTGATATCTTAACCATAAGACTAATTTGATTGTAGTCTGCCTACAAACTTAAGATAGCCCAACATACTAAATTTGTTGGTATTAGAATCTCAAGTTCATGGCCTTTTAAGGAAAAAGTAAAATTTGTAATGCTTGTAGAAATTAACCAAGGACTGAAATATTCTAAGTCTCCTGAACTTCGAAAGGGAGAAAAGGAGGGGTATATTGCTGGGTCAACTATTTTTTTTGCTAGATAATTTTCTCTATATATTCCGTATATTCTAGTTGTATTGATGATAAATTCTAGTGTTAAAAAAAACCCCAAGTTATAAGCCAGTGACTGAATCAATCCAACATCTCAACTATTTTATAAAAGGTTGAAGTTCTGTCATGTCATAAGTGATTCTGATATTTTTTGTTTCTATTCTCACATAAAGATTATTGTCTTTTAAATGCAATTTTTATAATAATAGTACTCTGTAAAACATGCTTTAATAATACATGAGTTTTCCTGTGTACCTCATTTAATAATGTGATGTAGAGTTAACTGCTGTCAAGAATTACCCTTATATCTAAGGTACTTTGGAACCTCAGTGTCTTAGTCTTTCTCCGTGTTTCTTATTTACTAAGATATAAGGAGTCTATAACTCTTGCAGAGGGTATGATTAAATACCGTACCTGGGAATTGTGATAAATTAGTTTTGTATATTATTTCACCATTTTTATTTTACGTATAATTATGAACTGTCTGCTGCACCTTACTGTCTGCTATTGGCTAGTTGTATATTATATCCACAGCCTGCTCATACTGTTTTTGTAAAGTTTATCTATAGACTTTCTAGCCTGTAGAACTG